CATTCTCATGTGCCAAAGAGTCATGTCATCAGTTTTACAAGCTTTATTACAAGAATTGAAAGAAGAACAAGTACTATGAACAATATCAGAACATGGTGACTTCAACTGAGACTCAGGACTTCCTTTGGAAATATAAAGTCCACCTTGTTTTCTACCAAGAACCACTGGCTTCTTCATTGAATGGTCCTGCAGAATACATAGATCCTGTGTGAATGTGGTTGTAGTTCCCAGTTGGTTACACAACTTGCCCACAGACAGAAGATTGTATTTAAAACTTGGAACAAATAAGACTCCATTTAGGGCAAGACCAGGATGTAGGATAACTTTGGTTTTTGGTTATTTGGTAAGGTGACATATTGTGGAGAGGAAAGATATGTGAGATCAACAAAGAGTTTAACATTGGAACACATGTGATCTGTAGCTCCAGTGTCTAGTATCCAATCATAATCATCAATTGAAAACACAGTATTGCACAAATGGGAAGACAAGAAATCTGAAGAAACTGAGGTCATACCTGCCATGTGAGCAGAAAATGCATGGGTTTTAGGATCATCTGCAGCTCTACAACCTTGGTTGCTGACTTGCACTGTGTTGAGGAATTGGATGAACTGATTGAAAAGGGCATCAGTGCTTTGATTAGTAATGTTCTCTTCATTTCCTGTGGAGTCTTCACCAGTAGAGGTGTGAGCTGCTATCTTCTTTGCCTTATTGAACTTGAAATCTTTTGGGAATCCAACAAGTCTGTAACACTTGGCTGAATGTCCTGGCTTCTTACAATGCTCACATATGACTAATTTCTTGTTATCAAATCTGCCTTTGTAACCTCCTATATTGCTTCCAGGTTTGAATGAATTGTGACTATTAACATTTAAAGAGGCATGTTCTGAGACAAGAGGTGAAGAAGCTTGAATTCCTCTTTGCCTTTCTTCATGAATCAAAAGTCCATAAGCTTGACTAACAGTTGGTAAAGGCCTCATTAGCAAAATATTCCCTCTGATAGCATTGTAATCAGAATTCAGTCCCATTAGAAATTGTACAAGTCTCTGATAAACTCATTTTATTTGTTTTCTCTTATTTGCTGAGTTGGACAAGTAGATGATGTGGCTTAGAGTCCTTGAGTATAAATACTTGATTGTATTGTATTTTAGTTGATTTCGAAAAAATCCTGCCAGATATTTTTCTCTCTCATTCTCGTTGGATCAGTTCCTATTTTTACGCTGCAACCTTCAGCGTTCTGCTTCCTTTCATCACGAAGATTTCTCTGAAATCTTCGCCAGACTCATGAAAATCAACATGGTATCAGAGCAATAGATTTCTGATCTGAAGCTTCTTTGCTGTTCTTCGTTTCTTTTCATCTTGTTTCTACTGATCGATCTTCATCGCTAATATTAGCAATGGCAAATTCTGGAGTTCCTGTTAATTCTACAATCGGACCTACGAATCCTTTATATCTTCATCCTTCTGATAATCCTGGGATGAATCTGATATCCAAACAGTTTGATGGAGAAGGATTTGGTTCGTGGAAGAAGTCCATGTCAATTGCTTTATCTGCAAAAAATAAACTGGAATTCGTGAAAGGAAATATTGTGAAACCGATTGGAGATCCACCACAACTCAGCAAATAAGAGAAAACAAATAAAATGAGTTTATCTACTAACAGTTTTTTATTTATCCTTTTGATAAATGTTCTCGTGATCGTCGAAATGTTCTCTTGATTTATCCTTTTGATTTTATTCTAATTAAAGTTTAGTACATGGATGTTTCCTTAGTATGTTATGCCTTGATTCTGAGAATGTGTTTGTGGGTTTAAGATATGCAATTGGACTTTGAGTATGTGGCATTAATGAGCTGTGCATAAGTCTGTGAGTCCATTACCTTTGGCCTAATTCAATTTCTAAGATATTCCCTATGATGTGATGTTGCTAATATGGAGCCTTTGGTTTTTTTCTAATTAGTGTTGAGCTCTTGGATTTTAAAATTTATCGAAACAGAGAAAATTCAATCTGGGGCCGTAGTTGATGTGTTTTGTTTAATGACGCATTTAGTTCAGTAATGCATTCTGGTTCTATGACTGCATTGCCTTTACCTTATTTTATTAATGTAAATGTTCAATGTAGTGTGAGCCTGGAAATATGCAATGGGCTTTGGTCCCTCTTGTTTTCGTTCTGAATAGGTTTGCTAACTTGTATGTGAAGGTGGTCTGAAAGAGGAAAAACACTAATGTGTCTGTAGTTGGTTTATTTAATGCAACGATGCATTTTGATCAGAGGCGGATTATAAAAAATCATAAAATAGTCATACATTTTGTTCATTGATGCATTATGTGATTTTTGATGCATTTTCATTTCATGGTAGGAAATGCTAACATAACGGAGCAAATACAAAATTACATAAAAAACAGTGCAAGAGTGCATCATTTACTGAGAAAAAGAGATTGAGATGACTGAGAAAAACAGAAGTATATAAACACCAAAGACAATTTGTCCATTGTGTGTTATACTTAAATCTAAGAATGCATTGCTTGTAACAAAAATTGTATTGTAAAAAAATACAATGGTCGAAATAAGCACTGTGGTTCTGAGAATGTATTACACTCATGTCATTGTTGTGTTGTCCATTTCTGAATTAGTAAAATTTTTAAAGAATCATAAAAATGATTTGAAAACGAAATGGTAAAGGAAGTGAAGTTTGGAGGTGGTTTCGAGATGAGAAAACCTGAGATGCACCCTGATACCCGATCTTGACCTTAAAACTTTCCTCCTCTCATTTGCAAAAGCTCAAGCTGAAATTTGACTGGTTTGCTGCTTCTGAGGTTTGGAGGTGGTTTTCAGTTGCTTCAAAATAGAATCAAAGTTAGAAATATAAAATCAAATAAAAAAAAATTTAAAAAAAAAAAGAAGAAGAGGGATTGTAAGACCTGTAGATTGCTCTTATTGATTCATGTCCTGCTTCTGCTTGATCACATGAATAGTTCCGGGACAGAACTCCATTGCCAGTGTCATCAAATGCTCCAATGGCCATGAGTCTTCCAGAAGCCATAGCCCAGGTCACCGGTGTGAACTATATACTAGATATTTCAGAGAGAAATTACAGTATCAGAACGACAAGTTCAGCATCATCATGTTCTTCTTCTTTTTTGTGGCGGGGCAAATTACCTACCCTCCCAGAAAAGAAAAGAAAAGAAAACAATTGGCAAGAGAAATTCAAAGTAGAATCTAGAAATTATTGGGAGTTCATCTAGTGTCTCTGTCTATGAAAATTGGGAAAGGGGAAACCATCCATCTTGAAGTACCCAGATTATATGCTAACCCTTGTTTTTCTAAGATTGAGATGAAATTTCGGAACATGGCTATGTTGAAGCTATGTTAAGTAGCTTTAGAGTTTTTAAAATAATATGCATTATTAAAATTTTATTCAAAATGCTAACGCTAATCTTTAATGTTATTTTCAAATAGCCCTTTAATTTTTGGGGCAATCAGAATCGGAGGTCGCCGCCTCGCTGGTGTAACGATGACGTCGGTTCTGACCAGCTATGGAACCCGTTAAGCATTATTTAATGGTCAAACGCCGTCAAAAAAAATTAATGGTCAAACCAGGATTGAATTAGTTCTTCTTTCATATTTGAACGAGCTAGTACCGAAGCCATGCCGAAATTTCTTGAAAAAATCAATATTATTGAACCGAAAAATACTGAATCGATAAAATATTGAAAAATAACCAAATTGTACCGAACCGAATGGTCGATTTGATATTTGGGATCGGTACAAGTTAACTTCTCATGTCGAAAAATCCTGAATCGAACATATATACAAATGCGTTATTAAAATAACAATTTTTTTATATTTTCATTAAAAAATAAATTTATTTTGAAAAGTTGGTTCAAGTGTAGATGAATTATAAATAATCATTTATTTATATAATCATTTATTTGAATTTTAATTTTTGTAGATGAATATAAAACAAATTAACAAATATTTGAAATACTATTTTGTTATCATTCGTTCTCTTTTATTTGTGAAATATGAAGTATAAATTAAACTAAGGTTTATAAGTATTTTTTGCATTTAATTATTCATGTTTTAATTGTTTATCTTTCTTTATTTGAATGTACTTTTGATTTTTTTAAATTAAAATTTTTTGTACATTCTAAAGTGTAAACTAGGCACGTATACATGCATATTCATCTCAATATATACCGAAACCGAAACCAAATCATCTCGAACCATACCGAATCTATATTTCGGGATCGTGATTAGTACGATGTAAAATTGCATACCGAACCAAAATATTTGGTACGGTATATGTACGAACTAAATACCGTACCATGCTCACCCCTATTTGAACACACACACAACATTAAAAAAGCCACTATCTATTGAAAACAATGCTCTCTTCGTGCATAAATAAACATATTATTAAAGTTAAAATGAATTTAATTAGTTTGAGTATTGACATTCATGCTAAATGTTACCGAGTATATCAAAACTTCTATAAAATGAGAATTTATTATATTCGTACATATATTTTACTTAAGATTTTTTGAAAATATTAAAATAAAATACTTTTAATGAATATACTTGACATTAGTATCAACTATATCAACGGTGAGATTCTTGTGACATTGAATTTCAATATCATATTATGACATCGATTCAATTGGAACACGAATGATGCTCAAATAAAAAAAACCGACAGTTCATTTCACCCTAACCCATGGACCATGGTAAACTTCCAACTCTCGCTTGGCCCTAGTGCAACCCACACTTTTGTCATTTGTGACACTCTTTAAATCAGCTTTTTTATGTGTTTTTTCCCATACTTGCTCTAAGAAATCTCAGGGATCTGCTACATATATACATTTAAATTGACCTCTTGAAGCACAATTGAAGTAGAAATATATATGTAGAAGTTATTCCGAATACATTTTCATTAATCTTGATTTGCAAGTAGGATAAGTGTTTCTAAATACTAGCCGGACTTATTATAAATAAATGTGTCATCGCTCTCTGTCGAAAAAATGGAGTCGCAGTCCCTATAGGTTGAATGTTAATATCATTTTCTAAAATTAACCTCTATTAACAAATAAAAAATTTTACCTAGTAAAAACTCATAACATTTTTTACAGGAAATAGTTTTATAAAGATGTTAATGTGCTTGGAGGGAGGTTCGAACTCTAAATTTGTAGAGGCGGATTCACATGCCTTCAACCAAGTAAGTCTGCAACGCATGGCAGTATAATACTTAAAATAACACATACTACCTCCGTTCCACAAAATTCTTCCTCTTTCGTTTTTTCTGTTTTCCACAAGACACTTCCATTTTCTATTAAAAAACCACTTTTACCCCTACTTTTTCATACCCTACCTATAACATCATACTTTTTTACTAATAACCAAACTATCACATCTTACTTTTTCCCATCATATCAAGGGCAAAATTGGAAAGTCAACCAAAATTACACTTTCTTTATTTTTTTTCTCAAAGTCAAAATCGGAAGGGTTTTGTGGAACGGAGAGAGTATGTACTTTCTTATCCCATTTGAGTGGGTGCAACTGCACCCACTTAACCCTATGTGGCTCTCCGCCACTAGGGAAAGAAGAGAGGAATGATTAGAAAAGAGAAGGGAATAGAGGAGAGAAACGAAGAGGCCGGGGAGGGACGATATTCTCCTCGAGAGAAAAGTTTTGGTTGGCCAATTGTTTTTTTTTAATTTCTTTATTTGTTTTTTGTACAAATAAAGGGATGACATGTGGAAAAAAATAATGAAAAAAGTAGCAGAATAATTTAGGAAGAATGGTGAAGAAAGTTAAAGAAAAAATTGACTTGTCATTAGTATTAGATGATGTAGGAAAGAAATTGAGGAGAATGAGAAGTAGAATAATATAGTTGCCGTGCAAAAAACAGTATTTTAATGTCTATAACATGTGTGAAAATATTGTAGTCAAAGGTATAGAGTGCAACTCCATATTCCTAATTCCTAAACATGCTATTAGAGGTAAAAGGTAGCTATAGCTAGCTGGGCCGACCAGAGCATGCATATATATATATAGGGGTGGACACGGTACGGTTCCGGGACGGTTCCGGTTCCGGAACCGCCAGTTCCGGTTCCGGAACCGCCGGTTCCGGTACCGCCACCCCTTGGTACCGGTACCGGTACCAGACCGGCCGGTACCGGTTCCGGTACCGCTGGTTCCGGTACCGTTTCCGGTACCGTTTCGGCCACCCCTAATTTTGTTTTTTTTTTTTTGCTTTTTTATTATATTTTTAAAATGTAAAATTGTAAATGTGTAATTGTTAAAGGAAATGATGAAATAAAAAAATTTAAAAATGAAATTGATAAAGGAAAGAATGAAATAAAAAAAAAAATAATAACGGTACCGGAACCGGAACCGCCGGTGCCGGTACCGAAAAATGGGCACCGGAACCGGTACCGGATTGGGCGGTACCGGTACTGGTTCCCGGAACCGGTGGACCGTACCGGCCGACGGTAACGGTACCGGAACCGGCGGTACCGTTTCCGGTACCGGTACTGTACCGGTACCGTGTCCACCCCTATATATATCCCTCCGTCCCAAAAAGTCTTTCCTGTTTCATTTTTTGCGCATCCCATAAAACACTTTTATCCCGCCTTGAATGCCAAAAAAGCTGTCAAAATAACTTCTACCCACAATAAAGAAGAAATGTTGTAAATTTTAGGCATTTTAAATGTCGGTAGAAATGTTTTATGAGATGCGCAAAAAATAAAACAGGAAAGACTTTTTGGGAGGGAGGGAGTATATAGTTTGAGTGTCTTAACGAACTCGCCAAACATTTGACTTTCCTTCATATATAAATACTGAGTAGAATAAATATATTTATAATTAATAACCTTAAAATGATGCCTTGAACGTGCGGGAATAAACAAAAGCTACGTTCAAAGAAGCTAATTAATTAATTAGACAGATCAGACTTCCCCATATGTATGTATATATATATATATAGCTAGAATCTAATGGGGTGACAGGTTGATTATAATGTCTATTGGCCGGATGGGAGCAATAATGGGTTCATCAAAACCAGACGCCAAAATGATGCCTTTAGTCAGTAAAGTCTATTGCTCCGTCTCCGACAAGGTTCTCGTCGTCCGCCACCGTCCCCACGTCGCTAACGGCGGAGGGTTTGTCGTCGCCGACTCTGACCAGAACCCTCTCTTCACCGTCGATGGCTGCGGAGTCATCGGCAAGAAGGAGGAGCTGATCGTTAGAGACAACTACGGCGCCCCTTTGCTTCTCATCAGACGAAAGGTAATTCGCAGTTTAAAAGTTCATTCTTTTTTATTGTAGGCCTTGAAAGGCTTTCATTAATGTGTATATTCTAACATGTATGATGCGGAGATTTGTTTTTGTTTCAATCCTTAGCTTGCACATGAAATCTTTGATTTTTTTTTTTTAAAATGAATGATGATAATAAAATTGGAGCTCCTAATCTCTTGGTTAACAAGAATTTGATATATACCATGTTATTTTTAAAATTTGTGGTTTTAAGCTCAAGAATTCTGATATTATATATACTTCATCGTCCCAAAACCTCTTTCTCATTTTCACTTTTTGGAATTTAAAAGAGAGGTAATTGTATTGTATTTTGACACTCACAAATTACGTTTGATATGATGGATAAAACTTAAAGGCAAGAAGTAATAGACAGATTAATAACAGATCGATATGATGTAATACAATGAGTAAAATTAGTAGATACGAAAGTTATTTTTTTATAAAAAGTGAAAAAACTTATTAAAACGAGGAAAAATGAAAGTTGAAAATCTTCTATGGAAGGAGGAGTATATATATCTTAGTTTGTGGAGTATTTTTATATTTTACAGAATTCTAATTTGAAAAAAAAACTGGATTTTGGTTAGGGGGAGGTAGTAGAGGTGCTGAGCATGGTGAGGAAATGGAAGGGGTACACGACGTCGTTTGAAGGATCACGGAAGCTGGTTTTTACCTTAAAAGAGCCAAACTCGTGTTTCTTGAAGAACACCCCCATAAAGATTTCGATTGAATCAAAGGACTACGCCGGCGATAATCGCCGGAGTTTCACCGTCGCCGGCTACTTCCCCGACCGAGATTGCAGCATCCTTGATCCTCTCGGGATTGCAATTGCACATGTACGTTGGTTACTCACCTCCTTTAATTTAATTAATATACTCTCTCATACACTTTTTTTAAAAACAAATTCCATTTCAACAAAATACATTTTTTTTAATTTTAGTAATTACAATTTGAAAATATCATCGATTATTATTACAAAAAGTGATTCCTTTCATATAGTATTGGCCGGGTATATTATGATAAGATAAGAACATTTTAATATTCTTATTAGTTTTAGTAAAAAGGTACTCATTCTGTCGTCCTAGTTTGATTTTTATACAGAGTAATTTTTTTACCATAAATCAAATACATATTTTTATACTCCTTCCATCCCAAAATATTTGCAACGTTTGTTTTTCAGCAGTCGCGGGAACTTTTGTTTATTTTTACATTTTCATTGGTTATTTGATAAAATAAAATACTCTTGACACCTCTTATTTCGAAAACTTTTCATGTAGTTTTTTGATATGTCAATTTTATTTTTTATTTTTATACCAATATGTAAATAAAACGAATTAAAGAAACTTGATATTTTGCCTCGAAAATATAAGTGTAGCAAATATTTAAGGACGGATGGATGGGCGTCATCACAACCCATCGCCGCGCATCACAGCCCACAACCACTACCAATTATCTGCCACCACCCATCATGTCCAATAATATTCTTTGTCGGTTGAACATTGTCTGCTATTCTTAAAATCTTCTTTTATCCATGAAAAAAAAAGAGAGAAAAATGTCATTTCTTTCATGAGTTATGCAAAAAATAGATACAAAAATCATTCTTGTAATGTAATAATGTGATGGGTTAATTTGTAGGTGGAGATGGAGATGGAAAGCAAAGAAGTGTACAATGTGAAGATAAAGGCTGGAGTGGATCAAGCTTTTGTTATTGGAGTCATTGCTATTCTTGACTACATCTATGATGGAAGCACCAGATGTTAATTACCCCTATTAATTACTTCAAAATGGATATAATAAAAAGATAAATGTGGCAAAATAAACATTTACTCCCTTACATAAAATTTGTTTAAAAAAAAAAATTTGAATTTGTAATAATTAAAATTGTATTTGTTAATATTCACAGTTGACACCAATCCCATCATCTCTTCCTCCTCCACACTGTATATATACAGATAGAGCATTTTACTCTGTATCCCACAATTAATTGAAATTTGGAATCTGAATGCAATAAGGGAAGAGAATTGAGCAGATAAGGAATTCAATTATCTTCTGCAACATTTTTCTCTCTTTTCTTAGAATTCTTCCTAATTAATGCACTCCAAATATGCATATACTTTTACAAACTTGGTTTCAACACTCCTAATACAGAGATACACAAACCACACCCTGTATTACAAATTGGAACAAAAATTACACCTATCCACAAGGGTCATATTTCATTCCAGCATCTAATAACCCCGTCGTACAAACAAGCGCGACGGGGGCTTAAGTATCTGTACAAAACATGTAGGTGCTAGTGGATCCTGTTTGGGGCTAGCTCGGACCAGGGGTGACCGACCCGTCTCCCAATGCCAAGCTAGCCCGAACGAACAGGAACACTAAGTACAGTGTCATAAGCCCCAACCCCAAAAACCTATTGGGGCGCATGTCGGTTCGGAGCAGCACGACGAGTGCGAACACGAGAGCGCCCACCAGGAACCCCAACGTGTAGAACAAGCTTGCGTCTTGGGGGATCGTGTAGGCGGATGGCCCGCCCGAGCACGCCCCGATCACCAGGGACAAGCCCAAGCCCACGAGGGTGTTGAACATGGGCCCCGCGTAGCATCCCGATATCGCGATTTGGATGCCGTCCTTGCTCTTCATCGCCATCGCGACGTTGGATATGAGGTCGCCCAACGAGTTCCCCCACGCCAGCACGGTCAACGCGAGGAGCGACGGGTTGATCCCGAATATAATCCCGAACGCGACAAGGAGTGCAACTAGTTCATTTGCGAGAATATAAAACCAAACTATGCTCATGAAGAACCCTCCCAAAATCCATGGGAATAGGAACGTTTCGGGCGGGTGGTCGGGACTCGTGAATATAAGTGCCAAAATGCCAAAAATGCCCCCAACAACAGCACCGGAAACATACAGAATTTCTCCCCCCATGTAGTCATATCGAGCGTTCCAAAGGAAAGCAAGAAGAAGAGGTGCCAAAAACGCGCTAGCAACCGCATACGTCTTGGACCACCGCTGCGCGTCGACTATAGGAATAGTTAAACGCCTCGGGAGCATCAACGGGACTTGAACAAGGTTTAGAAGCAACTTGGAACACGGGGACGAAGGTGGCGCCTCACCCACAACAACATTCTCATCATTCCAACCCCACAAAGACTCCTTAGGGTCCACCTTTGCCATTGCCCACAGCTTTGCAGAATCCGAATCAGAATCAGATTGCAGAAGAGCAGCGCATAGAGAGTCTTCATGCTTGAGTGGTAAAATAGGAGCCACAAGTGGAGCCACAGAATCAAACTTTAATCTTCTAAACAGCTCAATCGCAGCCACGCAAACCGCATACACGAGATAAATCGAGAGAAACGCGATCGCACCACCAACACTCACCTCGCCAAGAATCAATATCAGAAGAAGAGACAAAGACGCAAACAAGAAGAAACAAACGTCCCTTACAAAGCATTTCTTGTCAATCCGAACTCCTCCCCTTTCGGCAACACACAAACAAACAGTGCCCACGACAACCGAGGTGACAAAAACAGCACCTCCAAGAACACCGTTCAACCCCACGCCACCCGAGTCGGGACCCACGAAAGCAGCAACGCTGGAGAACACATCAGGGGCCCCATTTCCTAAGGGAAGAAGAGTCACCCCTGCCAGAGTGGGAGACAACCTCAAAAGATTGGAGAGGTTCTCAAGACAAGAGCAGAAATAATCTGCAGCAGTGTTGCCTAACAAGTAGAACAAGGTGACAAGCCAGATTCCAAGAATCAAATGCCTCAATGCAGTGTACTTTTCAAGATCACAATAGAAAAACTTGATGTAGTTCAAAATCCCGCCGGAATCGCAATCCGGATTCTGCTTCAAGTACCCACACTTGGAATCATAACCCTCATACCCATAAATCCCAGTGCAAATTGTTGAATCCCTACTGCCAATAACCTCTCCATCAACACCAATCTTTCCAGAAAGAAGAACATATGGCTTTCTTGAAACTGGGTTCTGAAACGAATCTCTGTGAAAAATCAACACAATAAATGCTAACGCGCCGACCCCATGGAAGACCACACGAAATTTCCACCTCTCCTTAAAGTAGAACCTATTCAAAGGCTCCATTTTCTTCTTCTGTCTGACTACGACTGGAAAAATGCCATTTTTTCTCCAAGATTCGACCCTTATAGTATATAAAGTCACTCTAATCTTCAAATACAGAAATGGGTAAACTAAAATTCGCGGAGAATTTTGATTTTTCAACACGAAATCGAAATATAATATATATATATATATATATATATATATATATATATATATATATATATATATATATATATATATATAAATATATATAAACACTATCTGTATGATGAATATGTATAGAGCACGACAAGAATCAGGAATAAAGGTAGCGTTTGAATTTTGTACCTGCGAGAGAGAGAGAGATGGAGAGGATGAAGAAACTTCGAGGCGGTTTCTTCGTGAGATCCTTTTTTTTTTTTAATTTTGGGGAACTTTTTATAGTGGGAAAACTTTTGTGGTGAGAAAACGAAAGAAGAAGATGGAGAAGATGAAGCGCGTGCACACGTGGACACGCGGGAAAGTAGGATTCCGGGACACCGAGAGCGTGGGGCATTAAACAAGTGGTCGCCGATGGCCTTAACTACGACGCGTCCAAGTGTTTTCGGTTACTTGAACGACCTGCCAGAAATCTCCAAACTGTTTGCCCGCCGACGCCCTCATTCTTTTATTCCCCCCCTCCTGTGGCAACACAATTTTAAAATAGAGTTTTTTGTGTCCGTGAGTGCGCTAATCACACGTTTGTCTAGTGTAATTATGAATTTATCCAAACTCAGATATCACACGTGGGGTTTGGAATATGTTTTTTCTCAAATATTATCTTTTATATTTTTAACTTTTAAAAACTCTATATATTTATTCTCTCTACAGCCGTCGGTAAAGTGAACTCGAAGCACGAGCATTAGTCGATCCAACTTTTCATCAATCGTCGTCAAACTATGATATCTTTATTAAGTTGTAACATGTATATTAATGAGTGTGTGACTAACGCACTGCCAAATCTTGAACAGAGAGACATGTAATACTCTAATAACTTTGATTTAATTATTTGTATTTATTTAGAAAACACCTCACCCTAGTATGTTTCACCCCAGGTGCCGCCGGTTAAATGATGGGGCAGAACCATTTGGTGGAGGGTTCATTCAAATTTAATTTTAAGAATCATATGATGATGTCGTCATCTCGATCGGCCTAATTAACAAGGGGGGTCAATTATCAATTCAACACTCTTTTGCATTTGTCTTTTGGTGTTCATCAAAATGAAAAATGAATGGGACTTGCAAAAAATATTTAAAGATAAACATGTGTGGTGCAATTTTTTTTCAAAGAGATAAATGCTACTTCCTCCGTCCTAAAACGATCTTTCCAATCGATATTCACATGGTCAAATTTTAATTATTTTCTTTACCCATTTTCGTTAATTATTTGATAAAATAATATAATCATGTCTCCTCTTGTTTTGTATTTGTATACTTTTGATGTAATTTTAAAATATACGTTTATTTTATTTTTTATTTTACATTTATAATCAAATAAATTAAATTGAAAATAATTTCAATCAAACTTCATAAACCGAACTGAGAAAATAATTTCAAAACAAAGGGCATGCTAAATGGTGCGGGCCTACTTAAAGAAAACTTGGTCCACCTCATGGCAAATACATCGTCCCAAAAACTATCGACAAGATGCAAAATTTCATGTCTTTAAAATAACTTTATTCACAAATTAGTGTGAAAATAAAAAAGCAAACTTATATATTTAATAACTACATCCCAAGTTTTACAAACAAGTAGTAGAATGTCTATTTTATTTTATCAAATGATCAATGAAAACGCACACACAAACAAACAAAGCATCTGGAAATAACACTAATGTTCTTGTATAATTTTTTTTCCTCGACAATTCTAAGTTTGTAACTATTTGACCTCTTTAAAAAAAAACTCTTTCATAAAAAAAACCAATAATTTTTTTCCCATGCAAACACCATTTATTTTGCATTAAAAGACAGATGAGCACAAAGTTTTTTTCTTCAATTATTGATTGAATAAAAGACAAAAAAATGATTTCACATGCGGACAACAATCATGTGTCTACCTCTAGAAACAAAAATGTTCAAATCCTGAGTGGGCGATCTTAGCTTAATTTAGGCATGCATTTATTTTCCTCATATGTGATAATTAAATCATTGATACTGAGTAATACTATATAATAAACCAGAGTACTCTGACAAAATTATCTGTTTTGAACTTGTTAGAGCACTGGAAATACTCGTGAAGCCCCAGGACTTTAAATTGGAGCTTCAAAATTTCTCTCTCTGTCACATCAGCTTTAACTTACTTCACAGATTCAGTAGAAATGAGTTTAAAGTCCCAAGACTTCAAACAGGGGCTTCAAGCCTTCATTTTTTACATTTTTAAATATACATCTTCTAAATTTAAATTAACAAATTTAAATTAATTTATTAGTTAAATTAATCAAAAGGAGACCAGTGCATTAAAAAAATATTACATTCATAAAAGAATAAATTCATAAAAAAAGTTACATTCATTAAAAAAATATTACATACATAAAAAAACAACACTACAAAGAAATTACTAATTATTCAAGCGACTAAAAATATCTTCATTCAAATTTGAGTTGTAGTAACATATTGCAAACTGAAATAATTCATTAAATAAAAAATACAATCAATAAAAAAAGTATGTTAAATTAAAAAAAAACAAAAAAATTACTAAAAGAAATTCAAACAAAGAAATATTACATTAAACAACAAAATATAGAGTAAAAAAATTATGTTTGTGTATATTTTTATAAAGAGAGAGTGGGGAGGGATTTGAAGCCCGTTAAAGCTTTGAAGCACAAGAGATGAAGCCCGTATGAAGCCCCAAGGGAGCTGTGTTTGCTGCCCCTTAGGCGTTAAAAGGGGCAATAACACCCCGGGCGTTATGCCCATTAGAATAAAAATCAATTTTAATGAAGTTCAGTAAATTTTCATCCTCATGGAGTGATGGACCCACCACACATGCACAATATACTCTAACCAGACCATGTCCATGCCTAGCCAGTTACTTGTCCATATCTCTCCTTACCAGACAAAAACACTTGCTTTTATTGTCTGACACAAATGCACTCCACTCTTGAGTGGCCCCCCTTAAACGGCCAAAAGTCACCCAAAAGGGATAAATTTGACTTTGATCAAAGATGGGTGGCAAAGAGCGGAGTGAGACCTTATGCTTAGCATAATTGCCTCCCAGTGCAACAACAATTGTCGGGAATCAAACTCGGAGTGTTACACTCCGTGCATCCCTTGTCATGTCAAGGGCGCAACGCCCACCGGAAGGGATTCCTTTCATATGAATTTGATTGCATGCCAAAGCCACACTATACACTACACATATATCATACCCTAACTGGCAATGAAGGGATGCAAAAGCTGATGATGTCTTGAGTTTAACTACTACGTAATAACTTCTACTTGTTGAGTTTAACTACTACCTTTGGTGTACCCCATTTGTCCCCCACCCCTTTATCCATTCAATTTTGAAATATGCTAGGGGTACACCTTGGTGTACCCATATGTCCCCCACCTCCTCCTTGTCCACTAAAAAGGCAAAAAAATTTAAAACAAATAAGTAAATAAAAATCAAATAAAAATGTGTGGTGGAGAAGGGGGTGGTGTACATTTAGGGTACACCTTTTGGTGTACCCCTAGCATTGCTCTTCAATTTTATTTTATTTTTATTTATTTAATTTTGTTTTAGTTTCTTGCCTTTTTGTGTGGCGATGGAGGGGGTGGGGGACAAATGGGGTACACCAAAGGTGTACCCCTAGCATTTTTCAACAATAATAAAGAACGACGTTGTAAAATATAGAGTACGTAAACATATAAGAGACAGCTCTCAGTCTTTATTTGTGAGATTATAATTATAGCTCAATTTACTACTCCTAGGTAACTGTCTGGCCTCAGACCTAAGAACCCTAAGGACAAGATTCATCCTATTTCTTCGTACCTTTGTTCATGCTTTCTTTTTAGGGTTACAATTTTTTATTCTCGTTCAGGCGTTTGCTTTTCAAGGAAGAGTTTTCGTGATTCTTATTGGTTTTCTCTTTTAAAAAAATCATTAACACCCTACTTTCTTAAAAAGTGAATTACAAGTCACTAGAAACAGAATTACAGAACATGGAAAATAACATTTAAGTACATCTTGTGTCTCTAGCGCACAGGCATGAACACAAAGACATGGATTTGAGAATTCATGGTTCTTTTGTAAATAACCGGTCTCAGCAATAGTGTTTAAATATTCAAAGGGAAAGTTGAACCACACAACACAAGTTTGAAATTTGAATTGCCCAATAACCAAACAGCAAAATGTGTGTGGAGAAAACTTATCAGGAAAAATCAGTCACGCTCGCTGATAGCCGTCAAGTGTTCATCAATCTCCTCGGTTGATAACACTCTGAAAGATTTGTCTTCCTGACTCACAACACCAGCCTAAGTAACATTGTGTGCATCAGCATCAGTCAGAAAGAAGCTTTTACTTTGTCTCCGTTTATTAAGTTGATGAAAAAATGGAATTAAGAAAACAAGATTGATACCTCAATCTCGCTGGCCTTGAAATCCTCCTGTAATACCGATTGAAGAGCTGAAATTGCAGTCTAGATAGGGGAAGAATAAGTCAAAACCCCATCGTGACCATAAGGAGGCAAGTGATTTTTTTGAAAAAAATGTACCGTTTTTTTTTTACCTGAACGGTTTCCTCGTATGAGAAGGCCGGGTCGTTTTTCATCTTCTTCTCCAGAAAGTTGATTGCTTCTTGTTCTTTAGACCCAGCACTGGTTGCCTGCAAGTAATTATTCAAATGGTATTAAAGTTTTAGATAGAAAAAGGAAAAACAGCTTCAAATGCTTTTCATGATTGTAAAAATAAGGTAACCTTATGACCAAAAAAATGACCAGCAGGATCACACTTGAAGAGCTGAGGTCCTTTTTCTTCATCGATACCCAAAACCATGGCAACTTCACATTGAAAACACTTAAAATGATGATGATGATGATGATTGTACAATACACTTAATCAAACTTAAATGCCAATTCGAAGTGTGCATGTGGTTAGTGACAAACCAATTCCGAGGGGTCTCATGTAGGCATGCTGAGTATAAACCTGAGATTTGTCTGCAATCCTGCGTGTATACAGTCATATATGATTTTGACCATCAAGAACTTATATTTGTCAGGAAATTTACTCGTTAACAAAAAATCAAAACAAAATTTTTATAGGTGAATATTCAAAATTTAATAGAAACTAGAGCACCGAGTTTTTGCATCTAGAGGATCTATATCCCTTATGTGCAATAAATTACTCCATCCATTCTCAAATAAGTGTAGACTTATACCCTTACACACATTAAGAAAACCTTAAGGTTTTCTAAACTCAAGCTAAACATGCCTTGCTATGACTATAAAGCCCTTCATTAAACATATACTGAGTATTAAGTACTACGGATCGAGCAAAGAAAGAGAAAGGCAAAATGAGTCATTAATGCTCTCTTGATCTTCAGAAGTGACACTTAAAATATATCCAAAGTGGCAACTAATAAAGAGCAGAGTAATAGCATACTAGCGCATGCACTATCAAACACAACCAAAGTAAAACTTTGTGGACAAACTTAACATACCATCTGGCAAGCACCTCCACTGGCATTTCATACCCATACTTAAAACGGAACTCAGCCGCCTCATTCCTAGCCTGTTGGACCAAAGTCCTAGCATCAGCTATGAAAATGAAGGGTAAGCTTATGAGTAAAGATCTCGAGCTTAAATCTATCTATACAAGCATTGAAATGCAGATAACACTTTTATATGCTTCTAGCACCAAAATTTATTTCTCACAAAAAAAAGTTTTTTTAGTTCTCTACATCTTGAACCATGAATTTGAATTTTCAAAACAGATGAAACTGAACTCAACATCACAATGACAAACAAAAAAGAGGTCCTACTAGCAAGAATAGAACATTTGTCTTTTGATAGAGAGGCCTTTGAAAATCTGTTCATATCTTATTCTGATAATCTATTTCACAGATTGTACGAATAAGCTTTTTGCAGGGCATATGATCTTTTGATATACTTATCCAAACAAAGTTTAAAAAACAGTATAAATGCTTTCATCCTTTTCTGCTAATCCATTTCAAATAGATCGTAGGAACATTTGCATATAGTAAGCCCATCCAAATAGCATTTCTCCTCAAAAAATAATACTTGACACAATCATGAACCGTAACAAATGATACATACTGTACTATACAGAAACACCAAAAACTATCTATCTTATTCTTCACTCCCCCCAATATTCACCAACAAAGTACGTACACACAATATTACAATAAACAAGAAGAAAAATTTAAACCATTGATAATCCCGACCCACTCAAATGAACCCATTCTTTCTGTATAATAATATGCTTTGGAGTAAAGGGTACTAACCTGTCACTCCAGTAGCCAATACACCTAAATACTTCGTAATTTGAAACAAATGGGTCACACTTGTCTGGTCCAATAGCTTGTCCTGTTCACAACATCCGAACAATCAACCCCCAAACAAACAACTTACGGGGGAAATTGTTCCAACATTTATGTTTCACAACAACGTTACAGGATAAGACATATTCATGAAGCCTACATAGGGAAGGGTTCTATCCGTGATAGAAACCCTATAGAGACTTGTCTATTAAATTAAAATTACAATTGCAAGAATGCCAAAAAAAAGTTATAATAGAAAGTCATGACCATGGTTGTTTCTATTTGAATCTGCAAGACTAACACATTTCATCCTTTCTAAATGGATCCCCAAAGTTTAAGAGTTAACATGTTCCATGTTATTGATTGATACATTTGAACTTTCCATACTTATAGGATTAAAAAAAAATGTTTTGCCATAGATGTTGACAAGATTGAAATGTTCACTTGCAAGCTATTGAAGATTCTTTTCTACAAGTGATCCAATGTTAAATACAAGAGGTAAACTTGGTTTAATACTCACAAGTGTCAGTATAACTCCAAGTTCATATGTTTTTAGCAACTTCAATGGAGCGGTGATAGCTGAGAACACACTTTCTTTAGACTCTTGCATGCAATGCATTTTTACCATCCTCTTTTCTAGAAAGGTTATCAACAAATTCTACATGAGCAATTGTATATTGAGCCTAAATTATATGAGCATATGCCTCCTGAATTAGTGATGACTTGATTGTCTTCAGGTTATCTACATTATGCTCATTTTCATGAAATTGGGTTCCATTCTCTTAATTTTCTGACCGTGTACCCTTACACGCTCTTCCTGATAAGATGTACCCTTACACCATATGCAACACCACAAGTAAGAGGCTTCTCAAAATGGGATGCTTTTTACAGAATCACCTAGGATCAGGTGTCTTGAGGCTATAGGAAATGATAGTTGTAGTAACAGAGTTAAAGTGTTAAAGATGGTAGATGCAATGTTGATGGATGCGGTGTTGGTGTTGTAGGTGGCCACATGGAGAGGAATAGAGTTGTGCGAACATGGAAAAAGTTTCACGCAGTGGTGGAGAGAGCAGTGTTGGAAATGATTGATGGTAAGTAATAGTCAAAATACCTACCTCAGTCTATGACTCAAAGCAACCTTGTCCTAGGTGATTCTATAAAAAGCATAGTAATGATGGTGAGTTTTGCAAGAGACATAAATGCAAACTTTTGAGAGACCTCTCGCTAATGGTGTTGCATATGTTGCAAGGGAACACCACCCTGAAAAAAGAAGGATTTAGAAGGGAATAAGATTGGATAATTAAATGGAATTCAATTTCAAAATCAATTAGATAACCTAGAGTAGTCCCCTATACAGGAAAAATATGTCCATGTTATATTTGCTCGAGATATAACTTATCACGTAACATCAGTCGATATGCTTCCTGGAAAGGAAGATCTTCAAAATGTATTACGTTCAAAAGCTTGAGGAAAGGGTGTTCTCACTACTCTCCCTCCAAGGTGCTAACTGCTAAAAACAAACTGACTTGGAATGACACTAACATTTGACATGTAACTTCTCATATATACAACTCCTAATGAGAGAATTGAAGCCAATTATCAGTACTTTGGAAGTGTTTTTGATATTGGATCACTTTTGGAAAATTAACTTCTGAACCACTTGCAAGTGAAAAAATCATTCTTATCAATGTCTAAACACAAACTATTTTCTTGAATCCTATAAGTATATATGTTCTTATGTTTCAATCGATAACAGGGAGCATGTTAGCTCCCTAAACTTTGGGATCCATTCAGAAAGCATGAAATGTATTGCAGATTCAAACAAAAGCCACCATGGCCATGACTTGCTATTATAACTTACTTTGGCACCCATACAATAGCAAGCGCAACTTAATAGACTTCGAAAAGGTCAAGTCTCAAGGTTTCTGATAGAATCCTTCCCTATGTAGGTTCTATCAAGGATAATGATTCTGCTCTACCCATACTGAGCCCGTAGCCAACAGAAATAATTGAGATTAATGCACAGATCTCACCATCAATTTCTAGGTTTTGATACATTAACGAACAAGATAATAGACAAGCTCTTATGAATTATTGATCAAAGCTCACTGGATAAAACTAGTAGATCAGTCCATTTCACATTTTTATGAATTCAAAGAAACTATAGATAAGCATTTCCGAAAGTTAAATTGAAACAAATTACAACAGAAAACCCTAACTACCAATCAATGAACATCAAATAAAAGCTGAGCTCTAAAGATGCAAAATTTACCGGAACTTTCTTCTGAGTAACAACACAAACAGTGTCTTTTCCACGCACACCAATGGAAGTGATTCCGACAGCCTTCACGGCTTTGAACGCGTACTCTGTTCACAAAACAACAACAACAACACCAAACATACAATTTCAACCGAGATCGGAAACATTTCCGCCGTTTCGGAAGAAATTTACGCGAGAATAGAAAGTTGCGATTGGCTTACCGACTTGGAAGAGACGACCCTCCGGCGAGAAGATCGTGATGTGACGATCGTAGCCTCCTCCGCTCCCTCTACTCATTCTTCAACCCTTCTTCCTGTAGTGTATCTACTGAGATTGGTAGAAGGATACGATGCTTCTGAACTCTCTCAATTAGCACTCAATATGGAGAGGCTTCAATCTCGAAGACGCTTGACTGCTAAGGATGCACAACTGATGAAGCCAGGGCGCTACCCGCGATAGTGACATTTTCTTATGCCCCAAGATAAAGTTTAAATATTCTCTATACCCACCCATAACTTCTTGAAATGTTATATTCCGCCCCAATTTTCAAAATTTTATCTTCTACTTAGGGGATGTTTGTTTCAGCCTCTTAATGGTTCAGATGTCTGAATGATTCAGCACTTAATGGTTTAGACTGTTTGTTTCAGCCTCTTAATGGTTCAGATGTCTGAATGGTTAAGAGATTTGCCTCTGAATGGTTAAATATTATACAGAGTCTGAATGGTTAAGAGCTCTTATCTGAATTGATCAGACATTTGCCTCTGAATAGTTAAACAATATACTAGCTCTTAATGGTTCAGACCTCTTACTGGTTCAGCACTTAATGGTTCAGACCTCTTACTGGTTCAGCACTTACCCATTCAGAAGTTACCAAACAGCCCCTTAGTATTTTAAGCTTATTTAACAATAGAGGAGTACCTATACCAATATACCATACACCCGGATGTATGGTATTTTTCGTACATCCGCATGAATACTCATTGTCGAGCAACTAAGTATTCATTTTCGAGTTCCTAAATGTTTATTTTTTTTAGCATGACTGAATTTTAGAAAATAAGTATCTAGATACTTGAGAATGAGTATTCACTTGTTTGAAAATGAGCATTCAGTTACTTATAATTGAGCAATTACTGTTGATGTACGAGAAACACTGTACAACTGATTATACGGTATATATTGCGACAATAGAGTGATTAGACAATCCATTAAAAATTTCTTACATAGTGGAATCGAAAAGAAAACGCTTTTATTTTCATGAAACTCTCAACTCAAAATATAAGGACACAACACGAAAAATAGCACCAAAAAAAATAAGAATACAGACAAAAATAATAAAATTACTCTTTTTACCCCAAACTAAATTATCTATTACTCCCTCCGTCCTAAAACCACCTTCCCGGTTTGACCGGAGGTGATTTTTAAGAGAGTTTAAAAATTGAGTTGACCTTCCTAAAATGCCCCTGAAAACCTTCTTTCTCCCTCTTGACACTGGACCAAAACATGACCAAAAACACTGGCCTTCTTGCATGATGTTGTCTTCTTTTAATAAACACAAAGTGTCATGGTTCTTGAATCTAACATTAGGTTCTAAAACAAAATCAAAGGTCAAAATTGCTGCTAAACAAATGTAAATAAAATAAATGAAATTGGTCCAAGCAACGAGATGAAGGCAAATTTGGGGATCTGCTCCCTCTTCACCGAGTCTGAAACGGAGTGGCGACGGCGACGGTGGCTACAGTCTCTCTGTGCGCGGCGAGGTCTGATCGGCGATGGTGGCAGTCTCTCTGGCTGCAGTCTCTCTGTGCGCAATGAGATGAAGCCAGATTTGGGAGATCTGCTCCCTCTTCATCGTTTTCTTTGGGAGATCTGATCGGCGATGGTGGAGCGAAGATGCGATCTATGTCTTGAGGAAAAGAAACGATTAGATCTGGATATTAAAATAGAGAGAGAAGAAGAAGATTAGATATAGATTTTGAGGGGGAGGGGGAGAGAGACGGAGGAGAGAAGCAGCAAGTTGAGAGTGAAGAGAGATGCGAGAGACGGTTGAGAGAGTTGAGGGAGGGATCCAGTAGGTTGAGAGAGTTGAGGGAGGGATAAAATAGTCAATTCATACACTTTTTTAGGAAGTGGGAAGGTAGTTTTAGGACGGAGAAAAAAGGGAAGTAGGAAGATGGTTTTAGGACGGAGGGAGTAACTATTTACAATCATTACTATATTTATTTTGATTACTCATTCAATGAAATAATATAATCATGTCACATATTGCTTTGTAAAACTTTGATTATAGTTTTTAAACATGTACATTTATTTTTTAGTTCCAATTCTCATATAAATTAAATTAAAAATATTTTCAATTAAATATGGTAAACAAAAACAAGTTGTTTAAATGGGTTGGTACGGAGGGGTGCATATGATTAAACAGACTATTTAGACTGAACATATGATTAAATTGTTCAATTGACTTGAATATTGATTACTTTGTTTATGATTTTCCTGAAACATGAATATATAGGAGTACAAAGTACTCCCTATATAGTATTCCTCAAGCGACCCTAAAACACTTGGGGGTGGTGGTGGTGATGATGGATATGGACATATAAAATTGCTCAAGTAATATAAAAAGCATCATTCAAAGGTCACCATAGGAATAACAAAGGGGTTTTCTGCAAACATATTGGAAGTAGTAATTGCCAATGACACTCAAAAACAACAG